GATGTGGGTTTCAAAGGACGATCAGGCTAACATTCACCCTCGGTGGACGGGTGGAACTGGAACAGGAAAATTAGAGAGAAAAAAAGGCTAAAAACCTTTTGTAGTGATGAGAGCTGGGTTATAATAGTTGGAAATGTCCATTAGTTTTTATTTAGTTTTTCATTTTAATTTTTCATTTCTGTTCCGTTTAGCTTGGTTTTAAGGTTGTATTAGTGGTTTAGTTTTAGTTTTTATTTTCTGGAAAGTAATCACTTTCATTTAGTTTCAGCTTTAGCTTTAAGCATTCAGTATTATGATGAAGGCTGTGATAGCAGGAATCTGATAAGAGTAGAATAAAATGAACACAGCAGTCGACTGAGCTCAGCTCGGCTCCAGCTTTACTTAAAGATCAAACAAACAAACACACTGCAAAAAATAGTGTCTCGTCAAGATTCTATGAAATGATCTTAAATCTGATCTAATATTTCACATTTTAACATAGTTGTGCACTGATTATAAGATTATCTTGCGTATTTCAAGATTATTTACTTGTTTTGAGTAATTTTATAATGTAGAATTCTCAGATAACTTTGCTGGTTTCAAGCTCATTTCTTAAAACAAGCAAAACCACTTGCCAATATGGTGAGATCATTTTACGTATGTCTAGAAAAGAGGTAAATAATTTAAATTAAGCTTACAGTAATCTCAACAGGAGGAATATTAGATTTATTGACTATATTTAAGATTATTTTACTTGACAAGATACTATTTTTAGCAGTGTACACTTCTAAACTCTCATTCATGCCCTGAAAAAGATTTCTCAGTAATTCTATTTCTTTTCAGTTAGCTTTGCAGTGGACATTACAGTTGTGTTTTTGAGAGCTGCAGTGTTTATTTTTATTTATAATATAATGAGCACTGATTTTTTCACTGCTAGTTTTAGTTTTAGTGAACTATAATAACCCTGGATCAGAGTAACATACAAGCCCCCTCACCGCTCTGACCTACAGTGATGCAACACAAGAGCATGTTCACCTGCATTCCCGAAGGCATCGACTCCAGCGGGCTGTGCAGGCAGATCAAAGAACACAGGGAACAAAAAAGCAACGAATATAACAAAGCAAGCAGTGTTTTGACAGCCTGGGTGATTAAGCAAGACTTAATCAGTTTCCATCCTTTCCATATCACTTCCTCTGCGGCGGCGGAGACGGGGCTGTATTTTTCCAGTGTTTTTTCCCACTTTCCTCCTCTTCCCTCCTGCAGGAATGCGAGGGGAATGTGAAAAGAGCTTCCTGTTTTTATTTCTTACACTTGTCAGCTATTTGCCCCCCAAAAAACAGAACAGAGGCCGAAGGAGCTCGCTCACGTCCAAGTCCAGGTGGCGTGAAGGAGCAGATGTGAAGGATGAAGGTGGCTGGACGCAGGTGCTCACAAACACACTGACCTACAAAGCGTCCGAGTTCGGGCTCAGTCTGTAAACATTTCCCAGGAGATGCTATCAGAGTCATTATACAGATTTCCTCCACACAGGATCCTCGGTTCTGGAAGCCAGAGCTTCATTTAAAAGGTTATGAAGACTGGAATACTGAGTGGTGGTGGATCTGGCAGGTGAACAGGGTTGGGGGGAGTTCGCAGAACAAAAAACAAATAAGAAACAAAAAAAAACAAACAAACAAACAAACAAACGAAAAAGGAGCATCAGTCATGCAGTTTAGTGTGAGGTGTCTCCACAATGCTGGATCTCACAACTACGAGTGTGTTAACAAGGTTCTCAAGCATCGTTCTCTCATACGAGTCTCCTAAACCTGAGCCCAGCTTCTAATGTGATATTGATTACTTCATAAATCAATATCACAAACAGTTTCAATGATATCTTTGGGTACCACTTTAGAATAAGACTACCATTATAAGAGGTTTAACTGGTTTAAAATGAGTTTGTTAGTGGCTATAAACTAGCTAATTAATAAACACCTTTAAATCATTAATAAACAGTTATAACACATTAATAAAAAAAATTGAGCTGTTATATCTGATGAACATGAATATCTGATGAAGCTGATGGGTTTATTGCTGACTGATGGAGAAAACAATGTAAGCTGAACAACTATTAAGTAAATAACAGATCACTGTTGCCCTTTTCATTTGTTATAATTGCTTATTAATGATTTTAAGGGGTTTATGGCCTAATTAATAACCATTAAAAATAATTGTAAACCATTTTTAAAGCCTTTATGATGGTATTTTATACTATATTTTTATTTTAAAGGGGTACCTATGTTTGACCCAGCATGTCACCCCCTTTTGTCAGTGGTCCATTCAAAATCACTGCTCAGATTTACCTTTGATATTAAAATCTGATTGATAAAACAAATCCAAACCTACAAATATAAATGAAGTCACAAAATATATGGCATATCTGAGACTCTTATTATCAAATTCCAGTTTAACCAGTGACCATTTCTATGAGGCGTTTGTAAGCATTCTGAATCGGACAAAAGACAAACCACAGAGACAAAAAGAACCTCCTCCAGAACCATCACTACTGCATATGGATTAGAAGCATGAACAGGTCATTCAGAGCACAAACAGAACCAAGAAGACCAGGTTAGATTAATGCTTGATACAGAAATACAGAAACACAGTAGTTATAAACAGTTATCCGACTCCGAAAGTGACTCATTAGAGTTATGTTTACATTTTTTATATATGTGTATATGTATAGTTATATATCACTGTTGTCAGAACAAAACCTCAGATCTCCAAAATGGTAACTTTACAGGAGAAGAAAAAAATCAAGTCATTTTGGGCCGTTTCTTTTATTCCATTCATCATGAAATTTACACACAATGTAAAGAGTAAAATGTGATACAAGGTTTTGTTCCGACTGCAGCGAAATGTATATAGTATATGTTTTTTCTGGTAAGGTTCTGAGTTTTATGCATCTCACTTTCAGTTTTTTCCTAGCTGACACCACATTGTAAAGGTATTTTAAGAACATAAGATTATTTAAGTTATTTCTTTTGACTTATTTTGTCTTAGGAAAGTTTCTTATTCTATTGAAGATAAATTTACTTGTTTCAAACATTATTTTTTTAACTAAGCAAAATTCTCTGCATTATTTCTCAAGACAAGTAAATGATCTGCCAATGGAATAAGACACTTCCACCAAGCAAATGACTTTAAAAAGGTTAAATTGTCTTAAAATATATTGAATAATCTTATAATATCCTTACAACAATCTGGCAGTGAGAAAATATCAGATACGTTGACTATATTTAAGATGTTTTACTTCCTAATATATTGGTGTACAACTTAATTGTAGCCACCAGAGTGAAACTGAAGGTTCAGCCCACCTGAAAAAAACTGTTGTGCCCATTCAAAACGGCAACCATGGTGCTGCTACTGCTCACAAACGGTTTAGCTCATCATTCAGAAAATCTTTTGAGGGATGAACGATTACAGCAGCAGTGGCGCATTCACGAGTGATAAACAGCGCCAGTATTGTGATGTTTCATGATATATCTCTACAGATCATCACATGAATGCATTAAACATGTGAACACAGTACAGGATCTGGCTTTTTCCAGCCAATTAAGTGTCATAAATGGGACACATCTTTAATTAGTCAGATTATATAAGGTGCTCAATGGTACACCAGTCTGACAAATCAAGCAAATCCTTCTGACTCGAGAAGAAAAGCTGTGTTTGCTTTAGCCATGTGTTTAAAGGTTGATATCACAATATCAGACAATATTAAATCCGTGCTAATATAGGTGATTAGACTGTTCTCTTCTCTTAAAATCAGACCTAAAAGAAGCTTAAAAGACATTGCTAACATATAATTAAATTATACCTAGATAATTAAGGCAATTCAGAGCGGTTTGGTGTGAAATGCTCTGTTCTAGAGTCAGAACTGTTCACAGTGGTGGTGATAGGAACCAGACGTCCACCTCTAAAAGCTCCCTCACAGAAAGTTCCTACATGAAATGGTTATGAATTCACTGCCTGATGACTGAGACACTGTTTTATGATAGTTTAGAGAACTTAAACTCCATTCATGGTGGAGGGATACATGCAGGGCGCTGTGAGGCAAAATAGTCCCCAAAGAAAACTTATTATTTCAGATTTTCCACTATTTTCCATCATCAACATTCCATATAGACTCAGAAGACTCGTGTAGGTTCACTGGTGGTTCTGGATAGTAAATAAAATGTCTATATTTGTGTTGTAGTCATGGCGACCCCTGGTTCCTATCACCACCACTGTAAAGACATCTGAACCATTTCACACCAAACTGCTCTGAATCTCTCTGTTTACATCTCACACACTGAGTTATGGGGAATTTTGATAAATAAGTGAAACTTTTTCCAGAAAGAGCATAATCATATCTGTGAATATGAGAGAGAATTAAAGCAAATCATATGAAATCTAAAGGCTGTATTTTGTATGTCTTGTAGATGTGGATAGGCCAAGGGCAGCTTCAGGCTGTAAACAGCATGAGCATGTATTTAGTTTCTTATGTTTATATTACTAATATTAATATTAATGCATCTGTTTTTGCTCGAAATTGATGCAGAATAAATTATTTTCCATTTATGTACACAAAATAAATTAATTGGAATACTTAATTGAATAGAATCTTTTTGAAAAGGTTCTTTAAAGCACCAAAAAAAAGCTGTTCTATTATTACACGCTTGTTATCATAACAACAGAAGAACCCTTTTAGCGCTATACAGAACCCTTTTCAAAAAACTCTATATAGAACCATATAAAACACATTCACATCAATCTGAAGAACATTTCATGATGCAAAGAACACTTAAAACATGCCAAGGGTTCTTTGAGTGTTCATGGTTCTATATGGAACCATTTCCTTTACTAAAGAATGCTTAAAGAACCTTCATTTTGAGAGTGTATTCTAAAGTGTTATTTACATTATAGAGCTTTAGTGAACATTGAGTTTGACACTCATATAAAGAGCCTAAAATATGGAAAAAGAACCAACACAAGAACTTTTCTTCCATCAACAATAATAATTTATTTATGATAGAACACAAACATTTTCTCTTTGCAGATGAGGTACAAAACAAAGTCAAATATAAATACTCAATAAATTAAATAAATAATCTGACACAAATGCTGTCATACAGTGTAAAACTAAACATTCAAGTATCTGTGATTGAGCTGGAGGCCTCGAACGGCCTTTCGCTCAACAGCAGAGGTGAAACGATAGCTGCAGGTATGAGCCTGGACGACTGCAGGTAAATAAACATGACATAAACATACAGAGACATTAGAACAAGCTGCTTCATTGAAAAGGCCTCCCGTCGAGCACATTCCACACAAATGCGCTGTCCGTCCCCATAATGGGTAATTACACGGCCTCTTTCTATCGTAGGAAAAAACAATCGCTCCGTTTTTCTGGCAAGCGTCGAGGCATTGAAACTCATTTGGAAAAATCAAAACAGGCCACAGTAACTATGCAATAAATACTTCCGCCTTCACAAAAGAGGCCAGGGAAGAAAACAAAAGGAAAAGAACAGTCATGAAAAGAGAACTGGAGGAGAGAAAAAACAGAAAAAAACCTTCCAGGATGTTTTCTTCAAAGTAGTGCCCTTTCATAAAGTGGTTAATAAGAGCCATAAAGCAGCCCAGCGGAGATAAGCGTCGGCAACCTTTGCACGCCGTTATCGCAGATTAGGGAGGGAAAGTTTCAGTGTTTAGGAATGTTTTGAGCATGTGCAATTCCTACAGCATTCCAGCATGGAGGTAATTTGCATTTCCAAACGAAATGAAACCACGTTAAGCTCTGATACAGAGAAACTACGACTTATTGCGAGTGAATCAGAAGAAGAGCGAGTACAAAGGTAGTAAGTGGCAGTAACAGGGTGGACGAGTGTAAGGTTACATTTTAACTCATAATAACACAATAACACAGCAGTATCTCTCTAAGCCCTTAACCAGGAACAGGCGCTTTGTTTATAAAGCTAACATTTACAGTTCGTATTTGATAATGTTAAACTGGCGACTCCAGTGTGTCCTTTTAGGATTAGCATTTTAATTCCTTGCTTTCGAAAGGCCGCCAGGTGTGCAGAGGTTCCTCCCTTAGTGGAACAACAAGGCACCTTTGTATGGACTCTTTAAGCCATTCATAACCTGGTGGCAGTTCTGTGCTGAAGTTCTCTAAGGTCTTAGTTCCAGTCGCTTCTAGAGAGAATGAGAAAGAGTCGTCCTCGGTTCTTCAGGTTCTTCTGCGAGGACTCAGCATCACCTTCCCTTGGAGGAATCTCCATTTCTAGGGTCTTGTCAAGACCAGCAGCCTTGATCTCAGAGATAGTTGCTTCCTTCTGGGCAGGTTGTTTGATCAGATGCTCGCGCGTCTTCCTGATCTGCATCCTCCTCTAACTGATCCGAGATTTGTTGGTCTGGAACGGTTTCTTTCTGGGTGGAGCAGAATGCTCGGCAGCAATTAGGTTAGCCTTGGCCACCTGCCTGTGAATGGAAAGAAAGATCGGTTAGCATCAAAACATGCACCTCCAAAATGGTACGTTTACACGAGGAGGAAAAAACTTAAACTTTTAATGGAAATCAATGTAACGAGATTCTGTTCCAAGCAATTCGGAACCATTTTTGGTCCAGTTATCAAGAAATATTCACACAATATAAATGAAATCACTACTTATTTGAAGGCTGCCTACATAAATGCTTCACAACGTATTGAACAGCATCCTTAAGAAGGAATACTTGAGTATTTATGAACAGCCTATGTCAGTATTTGCAAGATTACACAAGATGTTTTGAAGTAAATGGAAATGTATTGACATAAGACTCCATAAACTAAAGCGATGGGACATTTGTTCCATCTAAAACACTGTTATTGAGCATCATCCCCAAGTAATTTATTATATGGGGCAACCTAGTTATCAGTTCCACAGATAACTTCAAACTAAAGTGATGATGTTCTTATGCATTTTGCTGAATCACTGTAAAGTCATAAAACTGACACTGCTTTAAAAGCTCTTTATAACAGTATAATAACAGTTTAAGGCCCCTTATGTCAATACAAAGGTGTTTAGTTCATAAAAACATCTGATCAGCTTGCAAATGTACATGAAAACTTGTATGTAGGTTAATATGTGTAGTATTTCTTATTATGAGATTGCTATAGCAATAATATACGACTATTTAAGACTTTTTTACTTGTTTTAAGTAATTTTATCTTATGAAAATGTCCTGGTCCATTGACAGATCATTTTTCTTGTTTTGAGCATTATTTGATCTGCCAGTGGAATAAGACACTTTCCTAAGACAAAATGGCTTTAAACAAGTTCAAATGTATAGAAATAAGTTACAAATATTCTTGCAGCAGTTTCATAATGAGAAATATTACATACACCAACTACAATTACAATTTTCATGCTAAGATCATGTTTTGCAGTGTGTCATGAAGCAGGTGGCCTTCAAATAAGGTGTAAAGAGCAAATATGTCATCAACTTTCTGACAGATGTGTTTGCAAACGTTTCTCACCTGAAATATGTGAGCAGGTCTTTGCCAGCCTTGTCCACCTCACGATCAAGAGGACTCACCACCACCAGGCTTGGGTCCATGGAGCTGTAACCAAACCAATGACAGTGAGGTTAAACTGTGAGCTCTGACTCATTAGACACAGATCTGTTTAGTTCTGGATTGTTGAGCGAGAAGAAGCGCTGTCTGAATAAACGCTCTGCATCTCCACCTTTTTGCCCCACAGCAAACAATGCCAAGTAGTTAACGCGCGGGGCGGAGGCGATCCTTAACCTTGAGCGACTGCTCAAACCACAAAAATTCTTAACACCATCTACAGAGATAAAAAGCCCTTCTGAAAATAGACTCATGACTCAGGAATCTGTATGACTCAGGCAGTAGATGCTGGTGCTAATTGAGAAAACAGCTTATCAGTGAACATCATTACTCCTCCAGCGCGCCCTGATCTCGGGCGACTGCCACAGGCATGTGCAAGAGAAACAAGTCGAGGCGTCTATCTGATTCGATCTAGACTGTGACGGCATGGGGGTCTAGACATAGGACGAGGAGACCGAGCTCACCTGGTGTAGCAGAAACTGGAGCAGGTCGCATCACTGGGGTTGGCGCACTGGCAACGGGCAGCAGAGCGCCGGCGACGAGACAGGGGACTTCCGAGACCATATGGGGTGATCTTACTACAAAAAGAACAGGGAAAAGGAGATAAGGAACATGTTCAGGAATGTGGTGTGGAAATCTTGGATCTCAGAAAAACAAAAAATGCTAAGTTACGCTTTACCGTTGGGTCATAAAGCGACACAACTGACTTTAACCTCCATAAACATTCATAAAAGCTTATTCCAGTGGGCGTCGTCTGTCATAAAGGCTGCTTTAGTCAGCTTTGATGTCACTTTTTGGTAAAATGATGTAGCACATTATAACAACTGACCTTGTAGCTTATCATATATCGCATAATGCTGATGATGTGACCACTAAGATATTTAATGAAGGGCTTATTTAGGTGTAAGTACTCCTAACTTTAATGCATGCTAATTTTTGCTTGACTGATCATCACACCAGAGCATTTCACTGCATCTTAGCAAGTGGAAATGTCTTAAATCTAGTCAATATACCTAATATTTATCATTATGGGGTTATTGTAGGAGTGGTATAGGATTATTTTTACTTCTTGTAAGCAATTTTGTCTGATTAAAGTGTCTTATTCCATTGGCCAGCATTATGAAACACTTTCATGAGATTAAATGTATAGAAATAGCTAAAAGAAATGATATAAATTGTCTATATTTAAGCTCACTTGCTAAGGAATCATTTTTGGCAGTTTTCAAAAGAAGATAAAAGGTTCTAATATGACCGAAGCCCAACAGAACTGGATTTATTTGCTGCATTTCTGTTAAAAAGCACTCCTAAAAATGAAACTTAATGACTCACCTAGGCGTGTTGACCCAGATAATATCCAAGTGGCAGAAGTAGATGCACTCCTTATCCATCCAGTTACTGCAGGAGCAGCGCTTGGTGCGGACCCTCTTGGCCACCGAAGAAGAGCCTGGCGTTTGAGAGAGGGGTGCTCCGGAGCCTAGAACCCAAAACACACAGAGCCTTAATGTAGGACAGACTGGTGTTTTCCCAATGCTAACTATGATAGCTATGAAAACATGGGCGAGTAAAGTAAACAAAGGGCAAAGTTGAAGCCTAAATGCATAAATGCTTCATTATGAATGCCTTAATCGTATTAATAGTGAAGATATGCGAACATGCAATCAAACAGAGCAGATATGCGCGGGCTGGTGCAGCGCTACAAAGATAAGACAGAGTCATAACCTGGGCAGCTTATCACTGAACTTATATGATTATTGTACTGTCTGCAATAGGGTCACGCATATTCATATAGTCTATTCACAGTGCTGAATGCACAAAACTGCACAATAAATCTTAGGACACTGCAAGAAATGACATTTTATCCAGTGAAAACATCTTAAATGTAGTCAACATGTGTATTATTTCATTATGAGACATATTACATATAGTGTATGAAGATTATAAGATTTTTTTAACTTATTTTTTCTTGTTTCAGGTCATTTTTTCTAGTGAAACTGTCCATTCGCAGATCATTTTGCTTGAAAAACAGAAGTTACATTATGTCCCAATGGAATAAGACACTTTCACTAGTCAATATGACCTAAAACAAATAAAAATGTGCAGAAATAGATGGAATAATCTTGTGATTTTCTTACAATAACCTGTTGATGAGAAATACTACACGTTGACTGCTTTTAAGATCTTTTTTCTTGCTAAGACATCATTTTTTGCTTTGAAAGCTGCACGATAACTAGCATTTTCATACTTAAACGCTTATCATTCACAGCATATCAATACTCAGAGCCAACAGTGCATTGAATTCTAAGGGTTTGTGCATGCATTTTCATAAATTGCACTGAAACTATGACACAATGAAACTTATTAGAGGCTGAAAATACAGGTATGCATGAAATCTTTGCATCTTCACACTAAAATTTGTCACAGTTGAAGCAAATCAGTGCATAAAGGTAGTTGCACATTATTACTAGGCTGCTTACTCTGTGAAACACAATGGAATTAATAATATGAAATAGAAAATACTGTATAAATTCTCTGCTGACTTACCTTCCTCTATGAGCACGCAGAGCGCGGCAGAGATGAGCAGGACGGTGCGCAGCGACAGAGTCATCGTTAAAGCCTTTCGGGACTTGAACCAGCTGGTTGAACCAACAGAAAGTTCTTGCCAGAGGCTGTGACAGGTGCCTGTGTGGAGCCCTCAGCCTCGCGGCCTCCCATTTATACAGCCAGCCGGCTGAAGGCCACTCCCCCCTAATTGTTTTGTGACTTCATCACCTCTTTCCGGATACGGCGTTACACAATGAGCTCCTGGGCTTCCTCCTCGCATTCCAGCGCTCCTGTGGGGGGCTGTGAGTGGGGCATGCCTGCAGGAAAGAGAGAAGGACGCAGAGGAAAAACACTGGGACTTTCCCTGAGCTGCTCGTCTGAAGAGGTCACTGTCAGAGTCTGTTTTGTTTTCCTTCCACGCTGCATGCAGACGAGTCCTGTTAGTGCTTTGCATGCGTGAAAGTAAATGCCACAAGCCCTGCACTGCAAAAAAAGATTTATCAGGAGAAAACACCTTAAATCTGAAGTCAGTTTATCTTATATGTCTCATTATGGGGTTGTTGTTAGAATGTTATAAGATTATTTAACTCATTTCTAGACATTTTTACTTGTTTTGAGTCTTTTGTCTTATGAAAGTGTCACTTAATGCGCAGATCATTTTACTCAATGCTCAAAACAAGAAAAATGATCTGCCAATGAAAAATCGCACTAAGATAAAATGACTTAAAACAAGTCAAAACGTCTGGAAATAAATTAAATAATCCTATGTTTTCATGACAGTTTCATAAATGGGAAATATTGGACATATTGACCACATGTAAACAAGCAAATCTATCTGCATTACATCTCGATACAAATCAAATGATCTGCGAATGGAATAAGACAGTTCTGTAGCCGAGCAAATTACAAGGGACTGAAAAGGTAGAAATGAAATTTACCAACTAAAACAAACAAAATCATCAAGAGAAAAAGATTTATATAAAAAAAATAAAAAATAAAATAAAAAAAAGCTCAAATAGAAAACAGGAATAAAATATGAATAAAATATATCATGAAAACACAATAAAATAAAGTAAAAGAACCAACTAGATAGTAAGCAATAAGAAAACCAACATTTCTGAAAAACCTAATTATTTACTAGATTAGAACAGTAAAAGAATTTACATTAGATTTAAAGAGTTAACTGCATTTAAGATGTTTTCGCTTGTCGTGTCTCCTGTCATGCCGTAGTCTAAGCAAGATGATATGAAAGCATGAACCAGAGTTTCAGTATCTCACATGGAGAGCAGGGGGCGACGACGAGCAATAATACAGAGGAGGAACACAGTTTTGAGCACAGCCCCAAAAAACCTCCTCAGATTACTATCATTCAGTTTGTTTTACTCAAACTAAAATATACCCGCGGCACTGCTACATATTTCTGTCTGTGGGAGTTAAAAGTACTGAGAAACTGTACTGAAGTGAAAATGTGGGTCCTGTTTGAAAACCTTCCTCAATAAAAGTGCAAGAATGGAGCCAAAATAAACACTGAGCAGGCTCAGGTATATAAAAGTGAGAAGTACACAGATAACATCAACATTTAAAGCTCTCTTTTCTGTTGACTAACCTGTTTACTGGTCGCCACTTCTCCTTAAACAAAGTCGCATGCGGACAGATTCATTGATATGAATTTGGTTGGATGTTTTAGTAAAATTAAAATGTAAAATGAGGCAATTTGACCAAAAAGTCTCTATGAAAAGGTGAAGAGCTGACAGTATTTTTCTCACTGCAGAAAATGATGTTTCTCATTTTGAGACTGCTGTAAGAATATTATGATTATTTAACTTAAAACTAGTAAAAATCTTTTGGAATTAAGTCATTTCATCTGGTGAAAGTGTCTTTTTTCCCACTGGCAGGTCATTTTTCATGTTTCCAGCATTATTTCTTGCAACAAGTAAAACGACTTGCCAATGAAATAAGACACTTTCTTCAAACTGAAAACTAGTAAAAATGACTGGAAATAAAATGAATAATCTTATAATATTCAAAATGAGAAATATTAGATATGTTGACTTCATTTAAGATGATTTCACTTGCTTTTTTGAGTAAAAGTAAAAGGATTCAGTTTCAGTAATACTGGAGTAAAGTACAGGAACAAAGAAACATCATCACGAGAATATTTTCCACTCCTGGTCTGAACACAGATAATCTACACTCATTGTAATCAGCTCCACTTACTGTATAGGTGCACTTTGTAGTTCTACAGTTACAGACTGTAGTCCATCTGTTTCTCTGATACTTTGTTAGCCCCCTTTTACCCTGTTCTTCAGTGGTCAGGACCCCCATGGACCCTCACAGAGCAGGTACTATTTGGGTGGTGGATCATTCTCAGCACTGCAGTAACACTGACGTGGTGGTGGTGTGTTAGTGTGTGTTGTGCTGGTCTGAGTGGATCAGACACAGCAGTGCTGCTGGAGTTTTTAAACACCTCAGTGTCACTGCTGGACTGAGAATAGTCCATCAACCAAAAACATCCAGCCAACAGCGTCCTGTGGGCAGCGTCCTGTGGGCAGCGTCCTGTGGGCAGCGTCCTGTGGGCAGCGTCCTGTGACCACTGATGAAGGACTAGAGGATGACCAACACAAACTGTGCAGCAGCAGATGAGCTATCGTCCGTGACTTTACATCTACAAGGTGGACTGACAAGGTAGGAGTGTCTAATAGAGTGGACAGTCAGTGGACACAGTGTTTAAAAACTCCAGCAGCACTGCTGTGTCTGATCCACTCGCACCAGCGCAACACACACTAACACACCACCACCATGTCAGTGTTACTGCAGTGCTGAATGATCCACCACCCAAATAGTAGCTGCTCTGTGAGGGTCCATGGGGGTCCTGACCACTGAAGAACAGGGTAAAAGGGGGCGAACAAAGTATCAGAGAAACAGATGGACTACAGTCTGTAACTGTAGAACTACAAAGTGCACCTATACAGTAAGTGGAGCTGATAAAATGGACAATGAGTGTAGAAACAAGGAGGTGGTCAGAATGGTCATAATGGGTAGTATCAAAAAAGCTATAAAAGCTGTTACCTTTCATGGTAAAATCTACAGTATTTTTAAACATATTTGTTTAAGAACCACATACAGAACTCTCAGACATCAGGCAGTGAATTCATAACCATTTCATGTAATGATAATCATGTAATAAAAATTCTTAGAGGGATTTTTCAGAGAAACAGTTCTGACTCTAGAATGCAGCGTTTCACACCAAACCACTCTGAACGACTCTGTTTACGTCATAACTGCTTAATTATGAAGGAATTCTGAACAATCGCTGGAATCCTCCTGTAAGTGATAGTGTGGGCACTGTAAAAACATAATAAATGAAACCAGAAATACACCAGAATTCAGAAAAAGAAAGCAAAAATGTTTTAACAATTAAATTACGAGTTTCCTCTGTTCAGTGGTGAGTGATGATTAGGGGTTAAGATTACAACTAGGGTTAGTTTTAGGTTTAGGACAGTATTGAGGGGTTAAAATTCTAAATAAGTTTAGTATGATAATTAGGACCAGGACTAAGGACTAAGATTAAAACTGAGATTAACATTAGGATTAGGACCACAATTAGGTTTCGTGTTAGGATTAGGACCATGATTAGGGGTTGAGATTAGAATGAAGGCTAGAATTAGTATTAGGACCAGGATTAGGTCCAGGATTCAAATATACAACCAGGACCAGGATTAGGTGTTAATGTTAGAACTCAACTTAAACTAGTCTTAAACTAGGTTTAAGATTAGAAGGTTATAGGATTATACGACTATAAGTTTAGTATTGGGATAAGGACCAGGGATAAGGTTTAATACAGCAACTAGTCTTAACTAACAAAGGTTAGTATTAGAATAAGATTAGGAATGGGATTAGTGGCTAAGACTAGGTTTAGTATTACGATTAGGATAGAATTAGGACTAAGGGGTTTAGGACCAGGATCAGGGGCTAAGACGAGGTTCTGTATTATGATTAGGGATAGGATTAAGACTAAGATTAGATCAAGGTTAGGGGGAACAAATCTTATTTTAAAATGCTTTATCACTCCTAGCAAAAAGAGTTCTATACAGTACCAAACAAAAAAGTTTCTATACCTTGTAACAAAAGCAGAACCCTTTTTGGTGCTATATAGAGCAATTTTAAATGGTTCTTTACAGGTTCTCAATCGTGCAAAGAACCATTTATGCATTGAAATTGCAGTTCTGTATATAACCATGTCTTTTACTAAAGAAACTTGGAAGAACCATTTTTAATGGTTACATTATTATTATGGTTGCACATTGCTTTATATTGTTATCCGATTTATATTATTCTTCTCTTTTATTCTTTATTATAGTCCCGCAGTTTTCGAGATATCAACACTGTTCCAACTCCAGATTGTCCAGCCTGATTGTGTGATGCGTGCTTGTATACAGCTTTTTGATCGGATGCACGGATTCCGTGTAGCGAGGGAATTTTGCGGAATTTTTCCTCATAGAGAATGAATGGGGTCAACATTTGCATGCCAATCTAAGGTACTTCTGCTCGCCCGATCGACACTGTTTTTCATACACTATCTCAGGGCCGGGCCCCGAGCATGAATCCACTGTCGTTCTGACCCGCACTCGTCCGTTTGTTGTTTTATTCCATCATTTGTTTCTCCCATTGACTTACATTGAGCGGACTGTTGGCAGCATGCCAGACGTGATGTCACAATGGGCCGTTAACTCACACACCCATCCAGACTCACGCACGGAGCCCAATGTCTCACCCGCTCCCAGCCTAATGCTCAGCAGTGCCAGCACACATAATGATTTTATTAAGGTGGAACTGCTTTTAAGGTGGAATTGCACTTAGGTAGCACAAGAACTAATCCACCGGAATACTGACCCGCACTTGTCTATGTGTCATTTTTCATCCCTCGTTTCTCTCAGTGAGTCCCATTCATTTTCGCCACCGCTCAAACTCTATTTCTGTAACATGTATTATATTTAGAGGTGGACGTCTGGTAAACAACCTGTTTTAAAGAGATTAAGTTGTTAACAGTGCTACTGTTAAAAGGGGAATTCCAGCCATTTTCTAAATTCCTCCATAACTCAGTGTGTGAGATGTAATCAGAGAGATTCAGAGTGGTTTGGT